GAGGTGCTGAAGGAGGAACCGTCAGCCAAGCCGAGCGCTGCCAAGGTGAGCCGGGCCAAGCAGCGCAAGAGCCTGTCGCGGAGCCGCACCCACATCGGGCAGCAGCGGCGCCGCACACGCACCGCCAGCACCTGCTCCGACCTGCCGCCCGCCTCACCTGGCGAGTGCCCGGAGGCCCCGCCCCCCGAGGCTGGCGAGGAGCCCGTGCCCCCCATCCCTGAGCCTAAGCCGCCGCCAGCCCAGCCTCCGGACACCACCCCCCCACACAGCAGCTCGCCAGCGCCCCCTAGCCGTGCCACTAACAAGTACCCCAAGACTAAAAAGGTACCATTTCTGCCGGATCATGCCCATCATCACCATGGCAACCCTTGCGTCATGCCGTATGCTGTCACAGGCCTGGGAATTTCAGCCTCAGCCACAGGGTGACATGACAAGGGCTGATGGCTAATGCTTCCCCGCCCCCCCACAGCACTTAATGAGCGAGTGGATGGTGGAGAAGCAGGAGTCCCCGGTCTGCACGCCGGAGCCCCCCCCGGAGCGGCCGCTGCGCATCAGCAGCGACCCTGAGGTTCTGGCCACGCAGCTGAACTCGCTGCCGGGCCTGACCTGCAGCCCCCAGGTGTACAGCACGCCCAAGCACTACATCCGCTTCTCCTCGCCCTTCCTGTCCGGTCGCAGCCCTGGCACCCCGGGCGTGCCCTCTGCCCGCCGCCGCTCCCGCGAGCTCCCAGAGACCCCTCCCACGTCGGGCTCCTGTAAGAAGGTAGGCGGGGGCTCCACTCGGGGCCAGCGCGGGCGTCTCCAGGGTCGGCTCTCCGCTCATGTCCGCCCCCCCTTCTCTGTGCAGCGCTGGCTCAAGCAGGCCTTGGAGGAAGAAGGGTCTTCCAGCCCGACGGGGCGGCCGGCCCTCTCCCTACCCCGGGAGGGGCCCCTCAGCCCCCCTGTCAACGGCGACTTGGATGGCCTGCTTGCCCTCAACGGCAGCTGCACTTTACTCGGTAAGGGGGCACCCTCCTCCGTCCTGGGGCATCCCGAGGCCGGAGGGCCTGCAGTGGCTGTAATGGTCAGAGGTGAAAATTAAGTAAAAATTCCGACCATGATTTTGTTCCATCCACCCAGTTGAACATACAAAGTCAACTGGTTTGTTTGAACAAAATCTTGGTCTGGATTTGTATTTTCTGGACCGGAAATTTCCACCTCTGGTAATGGTCGCTGCTCTCTTGCCCCGCCCACAGAGCTCCCCGCCCCCCTTAAAAAGCGGCGGCTCAGCCCACTGGACGCCTGCGTGTCGGAGGGCTCCACCCCTTATGGATCCCCTTATGCCACGCCCACCCGCCCCGACCTCCCAGAAATGCCAGGCGGCCCCCTGAGCCTGTCCACACTGCCGCGCCCCCGCTCTGAGGACCAGGATACTGAGGTCACGCTCTCCACCACACCGCATGGCCCCCCCATGGGGCCTCACCCCACCCACCTAGAGGTGAGTGTGCGCGCACGCTCACATGCAGGCTTGCACGCGTACACCAGCATGTCCCGTCAGGGCAGACGTGACTTATTCAGATGTTTGTGGCTTTTCAGAGTGAGTCTTCTCCGGAGAGCTCCCCCGAAGGCAGCCGGAGAGCCAGCACTCAGGAGGTAGAAAGCAGGAGTGTCTGCGTGTCTGTGTGTGTGCGTGTCTGTCTGTCTGTCTGTCTGTCTGTCTGTCTGTGTGTGTGCCTGTCTGTCTGTCTGTCTGTGTGTGTGTGTGTGTGTGCGTGTCTGTCTGTGTGCGTGTCTGT